GAGTGGGCAGATGTGAAAGGGTACTGAAGCGTTAAGAGAAGGAGAATGAGCACAAGGTCAAAGATATTTAGAGTTTGTTTTGACGCTGAGGAGGGGTGGGTGTAAGTGAAGGACACCCATCTGTTCCTTTGAGATAACGGAAGGAAACAGGTCACTAAGCGAGCGCACAAAGTGAAGGGCGTGGGGAATTAATAGACTGATTGAGCTGAGGGAGAACTTGGCTGTGTGCATGGGTTTGATTTGTGAAGTGTCATATTTGCCACATGCTCTGTAAATCTCCATTTCTTGCTTGTGTTTTTGCAGTGCGGCTCCATGACAGTATCTCAGAAGAAGGTTTCCATTACCTTGTCTTTGATCTGTAAGTGTCTCTCTTTGGCTTTGATGCTTCACCGGTGATACAGGCACATGGATGCTTGACGAAGAGTGGAATAAAAAGCACCAGCGTTGATAAAATTCTCCCTTTCTCTTTTGAGACCTGTGTAATAGACCTCTGGCCTATTTGACAAAAACCCATTGACTGTGTGGTAGGGGCTGGACCAGGAAGGCTCCTGGCAGCAGGTGTAAGCGTGGGATGGCAAAGGATGGGTGTCCTGCGTAGGGAGGCTGGGTGACTGCTGCCTCCCGGGCAGCCTGGAGCGGGTCAGAGGAGGGCTGTTCTGCCCAAGCTTAGCAGATACAGTGCTTTGTAGAGCTGCGTGGGCAATTCGTGCCCAGCGTGTCGACAGCGTCCTGCGCGCTGCTGGTGAAATGGCAGCCTGAGGGGTCAGTCACAAGGGTGTACCCATGATGGTGCCGAGGTGCCGGAGCTCTGCTGCAGCTCCCCTGGGCCGTGGGTTGGTGACGGAGCTCTGCCCCAGCTCCCCTGGGCCGTGGGTCGGTGGTGGAGCTCTGCCCCAGCTCCCCTGGGTGACCACCTGCATCCCATGCAGCCCTGAGATGGACGTGCACAGGCTCTGTAACCTCCCACGTTCTTCTGCACTCCAGGGTTACTGGTGGGGAGCTCTTTGAGGATATCGTTGCCAGAGAGTACTACAGTGAAGCAGATGCCAGGTAAGAGTGTTTCCAGACCCTCCTGTGTGTGTGCCATGTGCGTTGGCAAGCGGAATGAGTTTCCTGACTGCTGTTCTGTGCATGGCTTTGTGCTGACACCCTTGCTCCCTGTCTGGAAAAAACAATTCCTCTTTCTGCTATGAGCATAAACTGCTGTCACCGGTCAGCCTGACTCACCGCCGCTCTAGCCCTTGCTGCTTGCAGAGGCTGTGCTCTTCGCCGGGAGACCCGTTGCTAGCGGCTTTGGCTGCCTGACCTTTCTGGAGGGTGGGTGACAGTGCGTCCGCAGCGAGCGAACGCAGGCGAGAGCTGTGCTGTGGCTGTGAGAGCGCTGCCTGCTCGGCCTCTGCCTTCTCCTCGCCGGGCTCCCGGTGATGTGCCATGGCTGTCGGGCAGACCCCTTCCCTTTGCCAGTGTCTCGCTAAGGGTGCGGGGGGAGAGGGGGCTCCGAGGGCTGTGTTTCGGTGGAAGCCCTCTCTGACCGTGAGCTGATCAGCACGGTGAGGAGAGGCACAATCTGCGAGACCAACCTGCATATTTCAATATTAAAAATATAGAGAGTTATGCCCCGCTTTTTCTGAGCACGTCCCCTTTCTCCCATGCGTGAGCTTCCTGAAGCGGCCCGTGCTTGTCCCGCTGTGGTTTGTGCGGGGTGGGTGCTCTGTGCGGCGGTAGCTGAGGGTGCTCTCCCACCCGTCCGTGTGCCGGACGTGCAGCGTTTGGAATCGAAGAGGGGATTAGGCAGCTCCTGTTCTGCTGTAGCAGGGCCTGGGAGCAGCCCCGTGGTGACATTTCACCCGTGTTCTTACCCTAACCCACGCTGGAGCAGGAATTAGGGGAGCTGCGGGAGGACAGGGGTAAGAAGGGAGCGGTGGGTGCTGCTGCAGGGTGAGCGTCGTAGGCAGCACGGTGAGGAAGACCATGCTGAGCGCGAGGAAGGGAAGAGGATGACCTGGTGTGTTAGTGTCGGTGCTCTTGGGGAGTCTGCAGGCGTCTGTTTGCTTTCCCTGCGGCGCGCTCACAGCCGCTGCCTTCTGGGCACCGCACGATGATTTCCAGCGAGGCGTTGCGCCGCGCTCTGCTGTGAGCTGTCTGCTGGTGGGGAAGGCCAGCGGGCTCATCATCTCCTGGCAGAGAGGTCACAGAATCACAGAATGTTAGGGGTTGGCAGGGCCCTCTGTGGGTCACCCAGCCCAGCCCCCTGCCGAAGCAGGGTCACCCAGAGCAGGCTGCACAGCACCGCGTCCAGGCGGGTCTTGAATATCTCCAGAGAAGGAGACTCCACAGCCTCCCTGGGCAGCCTGGGCCAGGGCTCTGTCACCCTCAGAGGGAAGAAGTTCTTCCTCATGTTCAGCAGCTCCTCATCTTTCTTGAACTGGGGAGCCCAGAACTGGACAGAGTACTTCAGACAGAGCCCTGGAGGTGTTTGCAGTGGGGTGCACAGATGTTGTAGGCACAGCATCTCGGATAGACACGCAGTCGCTCAAACCGTTCTGCCTTGAAGTTTTGAGGTTGTCAGCCATCATCCTTCCCCCATCCCTCTTGCCGGTGCCTGTTCCCTGAAATGGTCAAGAGCTGGTGGTGATGGACACTGCTCAGGAAAAGGATGGTGGGGTTAGGGGAGAACTGGCTGTTGCTCTGTGAGCCTTCCTCGGGGTGCTCAGCCCTCCGACTGTCAGCCGGCCAGGTCTTGCAGTGCCCACAAGATGACAGAGTGAAACTCCTCCCTTTCTCTCCCCGAGCCGAGCTGAATTCCAGAGCAGGCTGGGAGAGCAAGGGAGCGAGGTCCGTGCCAATCTGCCGCTCTTGGCTCGCCTGGGACACCTCACACTTTTGCCATTTTTGGCCAGAAAATCTCTCTCACTCAGACTCGGCTCTGTTCTAATTATACATTTTTGTTTTGGGAGCGGGGAGATATTCATGGACTCCGACCCTGAGGATAGCGCTGCCAGCTCCAGAGGGGCCGGGGTAATGAGTACACAGTGGCCGCACCTCCTCTCCCATTCCTCCCCTCACCCTCTTCCCATCTTTTCCAGCAGCCAATTTCCCTTCCCTCACATATTTCACTCATTTCAAGTTTGTTCCCCTGAGATGAGTAGAATTCGGTGAGGGGACTGAGTGATTGTGCGGCCAGGACGCAGATCCATCCGAGCTGCCCACGTCTGGGCGCTTACTGCCCGGCCGTAGCTGTCCAAATCCCTACTCCGTTCCGCATTCACCCCCGGGAGCTGAGTCAATGTTTAGCAGAAGAGGTGTTTTCAACCGGAAACCTGGATACGTTGCGCTGTCCTTACGTGCAGGTGTAAACAGCGCCTTGTTTTTGCCGCCGTGCTCACAGCACCGAGAGCGGCGGAGACGTGGTTTTCCGGGAGCTGAGGGAGTGCGGCTCGCTGCACTTAACAGGGAATGAATCTGCTTTTCAGATCGCTAACCCCTTAAGTGAGATCTGGACTTAAAAGGCACCCAGCGAGCGGGTGTGCACGCACATTGTGTATGCGAAGTGCTGGAGATGCTGCTCGGAAAGCTTCGCGAGCTGGCAGGCACCCAGGAGTCGTCATCCTGCCTTTGCCAGCGAGAAGCTGCTGCTCTCTTGAGGTTTATCCTCTGCTCGGGACTAGCCCAGCTGAATGTTTCCTGGGGCGGTTCGGCCTTGCTTGCCCGATCTCCACTGCTGTTTGCAGATACCCGGGTGCCTCGGTTCTCTGTGTGGGGTGGGCACCGCTGGCTGGAGGAACGAGCAGCGTGCTCAGTGTGGTGGGGGGGAGAGGAAGATGATGGGAGGAAGAAGAGAGGCTGGGGGTCCTGCTGTAGACAGGATGCCGAGCATCCCCGGTGCGGAGGGGGTTGGGGATGTCCCGCTGCGACAGCGCTGAGCTGGGCTGTCCACCAGGCGTGACGAAGGGCTTCAGCCTGGGGTCTCGAACTCTGCCTGGTACGAATGTAAAAGTTAGGGAGGCAGTTCTGGGGTGAGACGAGATGCTGAGTGTACGTGTGTGTGTGCATAACTCTGTGTGTCTCTCCCTTTATCTTGCAGCCACTGTATTCATCAGATACTGGAGAGTGTGAATCACATTCACCAGCATGATATCGTGCACAGGGACTTGAAGGTAATATTTCCTCCGTGCCACAGAGGCTGAGGAGAGCAGCCGGGGATCGTTGGAAGAGGCAAGACAGGAATACTGTGTTGCCAGCTGGCAGGGTTTATTTTTTTGAATTTGAACTGGGCTCAGGGGTTCTTGAAGCACAGATTTGCTCCTTCAGAGTGTTCTAGAGGGTGTGCTGAACTCGCAAGGATGTTTTCGGTCTCCGAGAACCCTTCCAGCTTTCAGCCTCTCTGAGGCAGCTCCAGGATGGAGTATTTGTGAACCTTGGAGTGCAGCAGGCTTTCAGAGAAACTTGGGTAGGATTCGTTGTAATGAAGGACACTTTCTCATCTGCCGTTGGAGAGATCTCTAGAGACCTGGGGCAATCTCTGCTCAATCTGCCAGGATGATTTTGTCTGCACAGAGCATGTATATTTTTGTTCTGCGCTGTTGCCAAACACGTGCCATTGAGCTAGGGCAGAGATGCACAGCAAGAATTTTTGGTGTCATTTCTCTCATCAGTAGAAGCACTTTAATCTAAAACCAAAACTGCTGGCCAGTTAAACACTGGGTGAATCAACCATTTGCCACGTTATAGCGCATTTATAGACCCAGAGCCCCCGCAGTGTAGTTACTTAAACACCCTTCCCACGCAGTGCCAGCTGTACTGGGAGCTGGGCAGGCTCCAGAACGGGGAGGTTGGTGCGGGAAGGTCTGCCTGCCCTGCAGCCCTCTCTGTCTAGAGTGGGAATGGTGATGGCCACCAGTGGTCCGGTTAAATTAATGCAGGATGACACCTGCTGCTGCTGTTGGGTTTGGCTTGTTATACAACGCAGAAGGGGAAAAGTGTACAATATTTTGCAGAGAGCAAGGTAAGAGCACATTGCGTGTGCTGATCTCGTGGACAGCTGTTAACCCTTCGTGTTTCTGGCAAACTCCCGTACAACACTCGTGGCCTTCTGATTCTGTGAAAAGATGCAAGTGAGCTACTGCGGGAGGGCTGCTCTGAACCAGAGCCGGCACCTGCTCTGGAGAAAGCAGCCCCCATGAGGCACTACTGCCCAAAATCAGGGCCTCTGGGGAAATGAGTACCGTTTCCCAGTACAGGATGGTGAAGGTTTTCCTTCGCATCCTGCCTTCAGATATAATCTGGTTTGCTTTCCAGGTTTTGTTTGTGTGAAAGCTGTGAACTTGTTTAGAACCTCTCGGCTGCTGGAGACTCCCCACTGTAGTTAATGTATTTCTGCTGTTGCTTGCTCCGATTCACTGAAACTGTCCAGGCCTGAGGAGCAGCCGTTCGTTTTAGCAATAAGAGATCCCGTGCTCTTTATTTCGTATTTAGCTCCTTGCCAAAAGCTTGCCCTTCAGGATCAGAGTGTAGTAGCTGCAGAGCTTGCTTCAAGTGACATTTTGTCTCTCGCACCCCCCTCTCATAAGCCTGTCTTTCGGCTGACGGGCTCTTAAAGAACTTCAAATGCCCGTAGGGACCCTAAGAAATCCTTACCAAAAAGTACGTGAAACCGGAGACGACCCATACGTTGGCAAACTTGCGCGTGGATAAGCACCATTAGCCTTAAGGTCTTTGTAGCTGTATTTTAGAAGCAAATAGTGCTTCGCTAGCACGAGCCTGGCCTAAATTTCGTTTTTTCTTAGTCAAGCCAAGCCCAGGTGTGATCTGAAGTGTGGAGGAAGTTTCAGGAGACTTGTTTGGCCTTCTGCTTTAGGGACTGGTGAATTTTCATTAGTGTAGCTTGATTAACACAATCTTTTTCATTTCCCAGGTAGTAAAAAGCCAGTGGCATCCAAATGTATTGAGACCCAGTTCCCCTTCCTCCCATGCTGCTTGTGGCAAGGACTGTGATGGGCAAGGCTGCTCGTTCAGAGCAGAAGCAGGGCTTGTGCTGAGTACTTGAAGGCAGGTCAACGAGCAAAGCATCTTGCTCCTGTCAGGCGCAACAGGGATAGAGGGTTGTGGTGGCATGAAACTGACACGAAGGCTGCAGAAAAGACCTCCATCAGATTTGTGACGTTGAGGCAAACTCCTGTTGCCGGATTTCCAGGCTTCTTGCTCAGTTAAAAACTCAAGGTGGTGTGAATTGCGCAAATTATCCGAAGGGGGTAGGATGAGAAATCGCATTTGTCCTGCCTGTCTGCAAGCTGGGTTTCCTGCAGAGCTGTCACAGCCCTCCCGTAAGGGCTTTGGGGTTTCGAAGGGTCTCATGTCCCCAGCTGCCCTGGTGCTCCGGAGGAAGCTGCTGACTCGCCGTGCAGGGTTCGGAGTTGTGTTAAGCCTGCTGCTGCAGCCTGCTGCTGGAACACAGCGGATTTCTGGTTCACGCGAGACGGAGGTGTGAGGGGCAGGAGTCTGTCTCCCTTTCCTAGCCCGTGGGGGAGGCGACGTGGCTCTTCGTTGTATAGGTGACAGCGGCAGTAGCAAGACAGCAGATTTTACGCTGCGGTAAATACGTAGCATGAAAAAACAGCTTACAAGAATACTGCTGTGCTGTGATGCCAATTCCAGGCTAAGGCTCTTTCTGTAAGGGATGAAAGCTACTGCCTATCCAGATGATGCTTTCCCACATTACGGCGCTGTATTTGGCAGCCCTTATTAACATCATATTTACTTTTCCAGTGCCTTGGGGACTGTGTAATGTTCATGGGGAGAAACATCACTGCAGATTGTATCTACTGCATCTTCCCCTCGCCAATTACTCTCTGCGGGCATGACAGAAACAAATTTTGGATTCTGTGCTGCAGGAGCTGTACTGCCAGTGCCCTCTGGTGTCAGCACGTAAGGCGGGGGATTGCTGTTAGTCTTGAGGATTTTCTGCCAGTCTAGGTCAAGGCCATTGGTTGCTGTTGCTCCACCTTCACCTGAACAGCTTTAGTACGTGCCTGCTAAACACCATCAGCATATTGAGATCAGTGGTGTGAATACTGGGGTAGGAGGCTTTGATGAGGATGTCAGTCTTTCATTCTTACCCCCTTTTTTCTTTCTTCTCCCCAGCCTGAGAATTTACTACTGGCGAGTAAATGTAAGGGTGCTGCTGTCAAACTGGCTGACTTCGGACTGGCCATAGAAGTGCAGGGAGAGCAGCAGGCCTGGTTTGGTAAGCGCGTTTGAGCTTTCCCGCTTTCGCTCCCCGCTTTCCTGCTGCCTGGTCAAGCTGCACCCTCCCCGAGTGCTTTCTTGCAGCTCTTCTGGCACACGCAAGTGTATTTGGCATTGCTGCTTCCTTCCTAAGCATCTTAGCCTCCGGGTCCTTGGGCACGAGCAATAAAGAATATGATAAATAAAGACAGAGAAAATGGCTGTGTATTTCTCTCTTTTTCTTCTCGGTTGACAGTAGATGCTAGTGTCAGAGATAAATGCAGCTGCTAAGTTTAGACCCTGATCTGAACTTTCCTACTGTTCAGGATTGTAGACATCTGGAATTTTGTTTGGTCATTTTACAGCAATGCGTTTGACCTGGCCTTCCTCAGGCACGTTTGGATCTGACCTTATCTTTGTTTAGCTAAAATGCAGTTAGAAATGAGACCTTTTCAGGCTAAACATCAGCTCTGAGCCTCTGCAGGGCTGTGGGAGCTCTGGAGGGGTGGCTGCTTCGCCTGGTCTGCCCACGCCATTTGGCAAGCAGATGTGTCCCATCTGTGTCTCGTGTTTTCAAACTCCAAGCTATTATATGTAACAAGGATAGAAGGCCTGGCATACGGTCGTGCTTTCTTTTGTGGTTTTTGTGCGATACGTAGATGCTTGATCCCGTCTAATTTTTTTGTTTTGTTTTGTTTTTACTTCCCCTTTCTGCTGCTTTACCAAGAGGTAGCTCTAGCAAATATGAGATGAAGGGTGGGGAATGGGTTTTGGAATTTGTTGGTTACCACTAGTGGATTTTGTAATATAGCAAGATCTCTTCTGCTTGGGTACTTGTAAGTACTTCATGTCATCCATTTCCTGGCAGGGTTTGCTGGCACTCCAGGCTACCTCTCCCCCGAAGTCTTAAGAAAAGATCCTTATGGAAAACCAGTGGATATATGGGCATGTGGTAAGATTCTGTCAAAACCTTTTACACTTCAACACCACCGTTTCATATAGAACAGCAATTCCTTATAACCTGTCACGGGGAGGGTGTGCAGTGCTGCTCCTTACTGGGTGGAGAGATGAAGGCAGGCTTGAGGATGAGCAACTGGTGTAGATGGGGTTAATACTGGAGCCTGAACTCATTTGATTTTGGCTCCTAGTCCTTTCCTCAGGCCATCTGCCAGATGTTTGAGACTCAAGAGATAGGACCTGTCTATCTAGGACTTTGCAGAGTCAGTTGTTTAGATAACTGTAGCAATCTCCCATTACGCTAACTATGTAGAAGATGAAATACTGAAGAGAGCTGATTTTTTTAAAGGAAAAAATGAAGTGTAAATGTATCTGGGAGCGATAAGTTTATAGATATGTGATAGCAGTGTTGCCTGGCGTGGACTAAATGGTTCTCTGTGGGCCAGGAGTGTTAGCTTTGTCAGTGGCATTTTTGTCCCCAAACCATGCACAAGAAGCATCTAAAAACCTAGTCCTTCCTAAAATGTTCCTTGCTACCCAGAAACCCCAGGGGTTGTGGCTTCATTTTATTCTGAGAGCGGCTGGAAGTTGTGGCTCACCAGCTGTAATAGCCAGAGGAGGGTAGAAGGACACCTTGTTCTAGCTCCTAGCAGCTGGCATTCACTAGAGCGATCATTGCCTTGGGGACTGTCAAGAGGGAAGGAAGAGGGGCTGCAGGAATAATTGGCGTATTAGCCTAACCATAGTGTATCTGTGTCTCTCCCTCGCAGGAGTGATTCTGTACATATTACTAGTGGGGTACCCTCCCTTTTGGGATGAAGATCAGCACAAACTGTATCAGCAGATCAAAGCCGGAGCCTATGACGTAAGGGCGCTTTCTTGCTGAGTACCTGCATGGGTGTAGAAGCCATCCAGAACATGGCACTGTCTTGCTTGGTGTCCAGCAGCAGGCCCCAAGCGACTGTGCAAAGTGATGTTTGGCGTGTTCGTACACCTCATTGTCTTCACTGCCTGGGATACAGTCCGGTTTGGGGCTACTGAAAGGATGTGTGGAAAGCATCGCAGTGGGCACCAAGACGTTGCTGGTCATTAGGGAAATGCAGATGGTGGGAAGTGGTGTCTTCTAGTGCATTTACCACCAAGTGCTGCAGACATAGCCAATGCGAACTCTTGTAGGGGAGCAAAGGGAAGGTGGAATGAAGGACCCCATCTTTATCAAGGCCTAATTAAAAGTATGGGGAAGTATTCTGTAGAATGAGAACTTAAACTGTGGCCTCTGGTTTCCTCAGTGTCGTAGTGGAGTTTATTCCAGCTGTGGAAAGCATGGAGCCCAGTGAGAAGAGTGAGTGGCAGGGGGCTTTGGAGGGGTAGGTTTGTGGTTGGGATCAGCATGGTGGGTTGGAGGCTTTGCTAAAAAGCCAAGCAGTTCATGGAACAGTTCACAAAGCATGGCAAAACCATAGTATAAGAAGTGCCTGAAGGAGAGGAATAACGAGGACGTTAGTACTGGGGAGCAAAGGTGGTGTAAAATGTGGCTTGGGTGCCACGGCTTGGATGTATGACATAAATTCTTCCATGTAAGGAGAGGCTTGGGAGGGAAGAAGGAACTCCTGGAAATCCTAGCTCAAAGCCTGTGGGTGTGAATATCAAGAGGAATTTGGGGGGGGTCATTTTGTAGGCTGTCTTGTGGTTTGTATTAAGAAAAATAAAAGGGGGGGAGGAGAAAAAAAGCGGGGGTTCTGCTGGACCCCAGTTACCTCCCAGCTCCTGTGCCTGAGACCATGAGAGCGGCTGTACTGGTGACAGCAAAGGTCTGCCTGACCCCGGGTCCTGGCTCAGTGGCTGCCTGAGTGAAAGGAATTGATGTCTTTGTGGCTGGTGGACTTCAATGGACTTGTCTGCTTCTCTTGCCTTCCTGCCCCTCTCGTTTCTGTGTTGCTTGTTCTCATTTGAAGTGGTTTTGCACTTTTTCTATCGATGGGGATTTTCAAAGCACTTCAGGGGTTAAATGTCTAACTCTTTCTGTAAGTCACAAGGAGTGAAGTGCCTGATGCCTCCTACCTACCTGTTGCTTTTGAATTCTTACCTACAGCAAACAAGTTCCAGTAGATTCTTCCCCTGTATTGCCTGGTAGAAAACAGCTCCAGTTCTACTGGCGTGCCTAGCCCTAGGGTCCTTAACCCAGCACCCAGTCTGCACTGGGCTGGGCTGGTTTTATCTCTTGACCGCAGAGGAAGCGGCAGCTGCATGTTGGACTCTGCTGTTGGGTTGGGGTTTTGCAAGGCGTTACCACGAATACTCCCGAGTTAGGGTTGAGGGTAGCGTCCTGGCTGAAAGCTCGGTATCGTAATTTTTGAGCAGTCTCTTGCAACATTGGCAGAACAGATTGTAGAATGCCTTGCTGATGCCTGAGAATGCAGAAAGAAGATTATATGCAGATCAAATATGGTGGATGTATTTTTATGACACAACTGAGCAAGGCACAAAACGCAGGAGAAAAGAGATGGGATAAACTTCTTCTAAAGGTTGTGGTACTGTAAGGAGATGTTCTTGGGGTGATCAATCTAGATCGATCTCCTCCTTCCCCCCCCAGGACAGGGGACTTTTATCCCACCAGCGCATTGATCTTTATGTTCTCATGTTCACCTGTATTTGGGCAGTAGATCCATAGGAGTGAGACGTGCTGCGTTTAATCTCAGCATGCTGTCATCTATACCACATACAAGCATCTGGAGGATGGCGTAAAGACCTCACCTTTGTCATTGCTGGAATTACAGGAGAGAGCAGTTCCCCTCATAGGTGATCAGCACCTGAAAGACTGGAGATTCTCTGCTTTGTTTCCATGCTGCTGTATTCCCACCTGCTGTTACCTCTCTCTCGCTCCCCGAGTAAGGAGTTCTGGTATAGTAGGTGCTTGTGAGTGACTCGCTGGTGGGTTACTACACCGAAGTGACTGGTGTTGTTCCAGGTTATTATGCCTTAGGCTGGGGAAGGTACCTGATGGGATGTTCTCTGTTAGCGGGTTTTGCTTTCATGAGGTTTTGCTGTAGTGAAGTGTCTGTGATGTTGCATGTGCTGGTACAGCTTTTTAGCATGCTGGAGAAAGAGCAAGGTGGGGTAAAAAAGGTAGTGCTTGTGTTTTTTGTGTCAGAAATCAGTTAAAAAGATCTGTGACTTTTAATTTTTTGGCTGTTGAGTGTTTAAGAAGCTCAGAGGTCTGAGTGATTCGTAAAAGGCTTTTGAACTGTGAATCTTCCTGCCTGTGTCTGGTGAACGGTGCAGGTGTGTCCTGCTGGCTGGTGCCATTCGTTTGCTGCGTTCTGTACAATGTTTATTCAGCGTGGGTTTGCACAAAAACTGATGCTTTTTGCAAAAATGTTAGCCCTGGTATCAAAAGGGCAAAAGCTGGAGTTCAGCTGTGTAGGTGGGAGAATCCCTTCTGCCAGGAGAAGATGTTTCCAGTTCATCATGTGTTCCTTCTTCCTCTTTCAGTTCCCATCACCTGAGTGGGACACTGTGACTCCCGAAGCCAAGAATTTGATCAACCAGATGCTGACGATAAACCCAGCCAAGCGCATCACAGCTGACCAGGCTCTCAAACATCCATGGGTCTGCGTAAGTGTCTTCCTCTGTTATGGGGCGATTTGTGGTTTACCCCAAACTGACATAGCAAGAAGACTTCGCTGCAGAGGAGCCCAGAATATTTTAAATATTTCAAAATGTGATTTTTTTTTTTTTTTTTTTGGGGGGGGAGGCTGGCTTTCAACAAGCCAACTTTGTTGTGCTTCGATGCTTTTTATTGCTACTGTAGGGGAAAAAAAAAAATCCCGTATTCTTTCAGAAGTTTTGGGAATGTCCATAGTTTCTGGTTTTCCCCACATCTCCTCTTGCAGTCCTGATCATCCTAAATTGTCAGATGGAGTTTGCCATCAGACAAAATGGTTCAGGATTATTTTGTTCTTCATCTCTACTTCAGTTTACTGCGTTGCATCTTTGCAGTGCTGGAACACTTCTGCTCTGCTGCGGCTTAACTGGCTGTAAACCTGCAATCAGCAAAAAATCTTTTGCTGTTCTGCGTATGTAGGTTCTGCCTTGCCAGACCCCACAAGTGAGTATTTTTCATCTTCTGCAAAGTTGGCAAGGAAATCTGAAAGTGCAGCTGGGAGTGGGCATAGGGGAGGGCAGCCGTGGTGCGCTTTGGTCTCTGCAGGATGAAATCGTTCCACCTAAGTCTAACCAGATGCTCTTGCAATACGGGAGCATACTTCTGCTTTCTAGGATGTGTCTGGTGTGTTCCTTCGCCCCTTTTTTCTTGAGAAACTGTGGTGGTTTTTTTCCTTCTGCCACAAAACAGCAAATTAGCAATTTAAACTTAGGTGAACATCTGTGAGGCAGGAGTGTAGTGTCTGCTGTAAAGTGGTGCAAGGCCCTTGGAAGCCGAAACTTCACACTGGCTGAGACTTTGCATCGCTGGGGTTTTTTGCTCCTTGCATGCTCGTAATCAATAGCGGTTCCTGTATATTTAACTTTTGTCCCAATGCCTGTAGCCAAAGCAGTATGTATTGCGATAGCTTGCTCCCCGTGGCAACATAATATGGAATGGTTCGAGCGCGGCTTTCCTACTTTGAGTTACGGGGAGTTTGATTTCACTTCGCAGGCATTCCGGCCTCTCGCCCAAGCTGCCTCCCGTCGAGTCTGTTGTTTCCATTTGCTCCGCAGTCTCTCTGCGGGCGACATGCGTTTGCTTTCTGGAGGTTTATTGCTCCTCTGAAGTAATTGTGGTAGGAAATATCAACAGCTCATATCTGAGACACGGCGTTTCTTAGCATCGCTGAACTTCTGAAGGACGCATCCTTGACTCTTTTAAGCCCCCATTGAACAACTGGACGTCACTGTCACCCCTAAGGGGGCCGAGTGAACAGGACCGCCGCAGTTGTCGCAGAGCAGTTTAGCTGCATCCTCTCTCCGCTCTGCCACGTGTCCTGCGGCAGGTGATCAGCTCTGCTGACGGGATCAAAGCAGAGACTGCCCATGAAGCTAGCTGAATGTGAGCATGGTTCACAGTTCTTTGGGCTATTGCAGAATTGTTTCCAAGCAGGGGAAAGGTAATGGAGGGTTCGTACACGCTGATGTGCCCAGTTAGTCATTCTCCTACTGTCCTTGTAAAGGGAATTCAGGCTTGTGGCTCTGTGCAAGAGCAGCAGCTACTTTGGCATTAGTCTCTGGTTTCCTCATGTGCTCTTAGTGACTGGCAACGCTTCTGGGAAGTTCTCTTTTTGCAGCTGATGGGATCCCAGTCTGCTGTGGGTGACAGGCGGGCAGCACTGGCTAGAGGTTACGTTCAGGTTTTTGCCTCGGCACATTACAGCTACATGATCTTTCCTCTTACACACTGAAAATCTATTTCTGCAAAACTGATGCAAAGATGCCAAGGCCTCTGCTAGTCAAGCACTTAGATTCAGGGAGTTGCCACGTCCAGGAAGGCTTCCGCTCACTAGCGTTCCCTTGCTGCTTGGAATCTTCCCTTAGAGCTGTAACTAATGCGGCGCAGATCTGTTCGGTAGTGCCCCTAACTCAGTCCCCCGTGGGTATGCTGTTCGTCTGACTTGGTCTCCTTACTGTCTTGGTCCATTTGCGTGCCCGAGAGACAGGGAGCGTTGATTCTCACCTGCACCTCGGTCAGGCCCAGTCCTGTAATAGCCAGCCTTGACTGAACCTGGCTTGCTGTGCTGGCGAAGTTCCGAAGTTACGGGCCGGTTGCAGTGTTTTGTAGCCGTGCGGTGGGGAGAGGCATGGCCGTGTCGGCTAGCGTGCCATGGTCGTGTGCGACCGACCGACTGGTTCAGTTAGGGCATGTGCTTGATCTTTTGCTGTTCCTGTTTTTTTCAGCAACGATCCACTGTCGCTTCGATGATGCACAGGCAGGAGACTGTGGAATGCTTGAGAAAGTTCAATGCTAGAAGGAAGCTAAAGGTAAGTGTGTGTTAGTTTGCCTTAAGGTTGTGTTTAATCCTCTGAATTTGAGGTTAATGCCTGCCTAGCAACAATATCTCTTTTATGATTAGCTCACGAATGTTAGTGAAGTACCTTATGTGGCCCTCCAGTACAGGGCACTAACGAAGTGTGTTGAGGGGCTGGGTAGTTTCTTGCTCCGAAGCTGTAGGTTTCCCCGCCTCTCCTGCTGCCCAATCACCCCTTCTACGGCGTGCAGGAGAGTTGAAAACAGAGCAACTAGTTCTTAAATGCTGGGAGTGTTAGTTCTGATCGCTCTCTGCCTCCCAGTAATAGCGTATTGGTTGCCTGTAGCTAGGGGCAAGCCTCTGGCCTGTGTGTGGAGCAGCTCTCCGCCATGTGAAGGTTAGGAGGCAGCTACGTGCCTGAACGTGAGTCTTGGTGCCATTTTAGATTTCCTGGGCTGTCCCACCTGGCCCCGAGCTTCCACTCCAGGAAGGCAGGGCTCCGAGTCAGGTCCGACAGCCGTGTGTGGGAATCCTGGATGCACTAGGACTTTCTAGAGTGGTGTTGGGATACCTTTGGCACCTGCCGCACCGTGTTCCCCATGGAGCACCCCAGCCCCCTTCAGAAGGGAGCAACGCTGTCTGTTATCCCTGCTTTCTCTTCCCCACAGGGTGCGATCCTCACAACGATGCTTGTGTCTCGGAATTTTTCAGGTGAGTTCTTGCTGTCCCCATCGCTTCCTCGGTTTTGTTTTGCATGGGTGAGTCAGGGGATGTTTTCACCATCTTGGGGTTGAGCAGGAGGGGAGGAAACATGCTCACCGTCCGTTGTGGTGTGATGGTGGTTGCTCTGTCTTGGCTGGTGACCAGTGTGAAATAGTAAACGGTGTGTTTGGGAAAGAGCACATGGGGCTGTAGTCTGGTACAAAATAGAAATCAAGTCAGCTGACACAATCCTCTTGTGATATTTTGTTATCAGATTGTTTTGGGGAAATTCCAGCGGGCATTTGTTAGCTTTCCCATCTGAAACCAGGAGTAAAGAACTTCTGTTCGGTAGCAGTGATTGCTTTAGACCTGAGGCAGGGACACCGGGCAGCTAGTAAAACTGAGGAGAATAGGGACAGGAGCTGTTTGGGTACAATGTTACTTTTGCCTCATCAAAAATGAGTCTGAAGCATCTAGCAATTAGAGTTTTCCTTGGAGCCTCAGAAGCGGTTTTCATCCTTTTAAGCTGAAGGGCTGTAGCCTGGCTCCTGCCCAACTGCATTACATAGTGCACTTACTGAAAGCGCCGATCTCAACGTGCGGGCTGGGGCTTTTTGGGAGATGATTGTCTTGGCTCAGCACATCTGGGTGATGCAGTCTTATCTATCTTCATTTCCATTTGGGTGGAAAACCTCTGTTTGCGAGTGCTTTTGGTCTGTGGGATTGTTTGCTTTCTTTGCCCTCTTTGCCATTTATTTTTTCCCGTTTTAAAAAGGGCAATGACTGAATGCAGGAGTCAGATTTTTATTGCACCTGACTACAGTGACTTTCATGTGGAGGTCTGCTGTGTGGATTATAAGGGATGGTGAATGAAGAGGAAGTGTATTCGTTTCATCTGGCCATTTACTAATGGTGGATACTAATAGTTGTATTCTGGGTGATGTTACAGTAGACTTCTAATCATAATGAAAACCTCTGAAGTGATCACCCTAGCATTCCAACTGCGTGTTCATGCATACGTTCTTTCGTGAAACCAAGGCAGCATTTTTAACCTCCCGTGTGGTTGTTTTAAAAAAAAAATAAAAAAAAAAAAATAAAAAGGTGTGAAATCAAGCTACAGCTAAGAGATAAGAGACACCCCTCAGCAACTTCAGAAGGGTTTTTCCTTGGTGCTTGCTTTCAGGTGAACCTGTGCCAATATGTCAAGGACTGCTCGTGGCATCAGCATTTTCTTTACTGCGTCTCTGATAGCTTGGCCTGAAAGGGGCGGAATGATTTTCTTCATTCATCTGTCCTAGGGTTGTGCTATGACAGGACTTAAAAATTGCACATTTTTTGCTGAGAAGGCTTGGGAAATGACTGTGTGAGGAGCTGTGGCAGAACGGGAGGGCTTCTGCGGGACGGTGCAAAATGAGGTTTTCTTGGGCTTTCTGCTGGTGTGAGCTGTCTTTGATCTATTCACACAGATGGTTTTTATTTCACTTCATTAATGATTCTGAAATAGGCTTTTTATTATTTTTTAAAACAGCAGTTTTAGATCCATTTTTAGTCTACAAATGTTGTCGCTTCTAATGAAGCTGCAGAAGTGCTTGGGTAAGAAAATCTCCCGTGGCCCAGATTTGGAGTACATGAAGCGCCCGAGAGCATGGTTCTCCTTACTGGTATGTGACCTATACATCCACTTATTCGCTGAGCCAGTATCTAGGAGGAAAAGGCTTGCTCTGCTGGTGCTTCTCTGTCTCGAGGGCTGAAGCTGCTGGATCCGCTTCAGTTACCAGCTGCAGAAAAGGAAATCCACGGTGGCCCGTAGCGAGTGCGGAGTTCTCAGTGGCGCTGAGTTCTGCTCTGAATGGAAGCCGTGATCCCGAGTAATGGGACGCTCTGAAAAACTCCCCGGGAAGAAATGTTGTGAATTTAGATGCAAAACATTTACAGCAGATAGTAGCTATTCCGAGTCTCGTCGTGTGTTTTGCGAGTGGGGAGATCAGCTACTCCTGTTTGCTTTGCAGGGCTGTGTGTAATATGAGCTTGACTTTTTTTATTGTTGTCATTTCTTAATTTACTTAGGGTTTTTAATTGTTGCAGTTGAAATTCAGAAATCTGCTGGAGTGAAAAAGAAGTACATGCTAACTGGAAGTAAGAAGTTAGAAAGTCCAGGTGGGAACTCTGGGTAGGGCTCAGACCATTGCTATCGTGACAGGTCCTCTAACTGCGCTAGCAGAGTTCTGGAATAGTACCTGTTGCTTTCCCTGAAGACCGTAAGGGCATTTTATTTTCTCTAATCGGGTGACACTGTTTTGTGGGCCTCTGAAAGCCCCGTTCCCAGCGACTGGGGCTAGATTTATGAAGAGAGAAGCTTCCTCCTGTCTGAGGGTGAGATCTTCTAACAGCTCCTTCACAGATGTTTGCAACCAGGAGGCACACGAAGGCTCATGTGACCTGGGTATCAATTAATTAGCCGCGATAGGACTATCTGCAGGAAATATGAGAAAACGTCTTTAATCCTGTTGTCATTACTGTCTCCTCTGTCAAACGTTTTGTAATGTGGAGTTCCTTCATTTGACGGTGTGGTTTTAGCTTGTGACAAATTGTATGCTCAAAGAGTCTGTAGCAGGACTCTTTCTCTTTTTTTTCACGTTAAAAAAAAAAATCTTGCTTTTTACAAAGCAACAAAAAAAGTTTCTGTTCTTTTGCGAGTAATCTGCTACTTTTGCCCCAGGTCAGTTCCTAAAGATGAAGGAATGTGGTCTGGCTCCTTTCCCCAGTTATGGTATATTCAACAATTTAATATTAGCTGTTTGTGGTTCTCTTTAAAAGATTGTATCTCGGGTCAGCTGTAGGCCACTTGTTAAAGGCAGATACAGTTGCACTCCCCTCAGCCTGAGTCAGGAAACCGAGACCTGCTTATAAGAAGGGGTTTGTAGCTTCTGTCCACACTCCGGTAGGTATTCACTCAGCTGCCAGAGAGAACGTGGCAATCTGAGCTTTGCTGTGGGGTCTTTGGAGTCGCCCCAAGGTACAGACAGAGTGATCTGCGTGCTCACTTGTGGCATTTGATGGTCTGATCCGCGTTCCCTTACTGAATACAGAAGTACAGGCAAGGTAAATCAATTGATTAGATCATATGCAAGAAACTCCTAAATCACCTTCTAAGAAGTGTAAATTTATTACTAGGAGAAAGTTGGCAAGGTTTTCAGAGATAGTTGCAGCATTTAAGGGTGTCTGGACTCATTTATGTTGAAAAAGCTCTGTAAGTAAGCCTGCTATAAATGGAGGGAAAGGAGGGACAAAACTGGTTTTCATCTTGGAAACAGCTGTCTTCACAAAGTCCATAGAAGCGGCTTTTCTCCAGAAGTTAATTTTTATGCAAGACTTGCAAGTGGACTACAGGAAATTCTGAGCACGGTCAAGTAATTAGGAGGCCTCTGCGTTATCAGTGCCCCTTTGTAAGCAGTCTGTTACGTGAGTGGCTGCGCCGGAGGGTAAAGCCCTCATCCCGTTGCAAAGGTCTGGCAGATTTCTTCAGTGTTTCTGGACGGGGTCAGTGTGTGAGTGGAGGATCCAAATAGAAGAGCTCTGAAGTCTTGGTCTTCCTGACATGGTGAAAGTGGGAGCGTTTTTGCCTCATTAAGTGAACAATAGATAGGATGGGTGACCCTCTGCTATCAGGATGGATTTGATGAGTGACTCTGCCTGGTTTTCAGGTCTCTTGCTGTTAGAGAGGAATTAGGACGATTGTCCTTCTGAAGTCTCCTGCAGGATTGAGGGAAGTGGGGGGAGAGAAAGAGAATAGTCCTTAAACCAAAATCTTGACCTGCTTCTCCTGCTTCTCTCCAATTTCATTGTCTCTCCCACCATCTCAACAGAAGGCAGCCACTTTCTCTGGTGCCCACCCCCTTCCAGGGTGAAGCCACAGCCCTGTCTTGTAGCTGGGATTATGTTACGGGGCCACGGGTGGGATCTTAATGTTCCTTACATGCACCTGATATGTCACACAGCTAGCTAAGTGCACCGGTGTACCAGCAAGATCTCTTTCTCCCCTTTCTCTGAAGAGTGGAGAACTGGTCAGTGCTGTGGATTAGAAAGACGAAGGACTTGCTCAGGTGTGACACATGCTTCTGACTAGTCTGTTCTGGGTATTGAAATTGCACAGAGCAACTGTTCGTGTCTGATGATACCCAGCAGACCCCGTGGAAAGCTCATTGTCTTCTCCCTTGGACAGATGCTGAAGGTTGAGCTGGGAAGAGGGGTGGGGAAGGAGGAGCCTCCAGATGTTCGTGTTTGGACAGAATGAAATCTGAGTCTTGTGTCAGAGTTTGGCCCATGTCCCCGAGGGCCAGGCACTCTCCTCTTCCCTTCTGAGGGGAATTATTTTTTCCCCACTTCAGTGTCACTCTTTGTGTGCGTGGTCATCCTTTAGTTCTGGAGGTCAAACGGGCCGCTCCCAAGGATGTATGTTGCTGCAGGCAGTAGCCCTTTACCACCTGGCACTGGAGTAGAGACAGTTACGGGCTAGAGCGCTGCCTTCCCCTCACAGTTCTGAAGGAGAACTGTCCTCCACGTGGGAAGGCAGGGTATGGTTGATCTGCTTGCATCTCCATTTGAAGTCCACGCCTTCCTCCACAGCTGTTAGGCGGAGTAGTTCATCTCCTGGTTTTGCAGCGTGGCCAGTCTTCACCCCGTGCTGGGGGGTTGACATGCCAGCGGCAGGACCAGCATGCTGCTTCTCTCCTGCTCTCCCAGCCCTTCTCCATTTTAATGAGACTCCCTTTCCAGAGGGCTCACAGCACAAGCAGGCTGCTGGCAAAAGAGGTGTTTTCGGAGGTGGTGTGTTTATTTTGGGGACTGCTCTAGTAAAACCTGCATTCTTGCAGTTCTCCTGGGTTCTCCCCAAATCGCACCCAAGTCTGTGTGGTGACCAAAACACTACGTAGCACTGCTGTTCTTGCCCTGGGATACTTCTCTTTGAAATGTGCCTGCAAGAGCGAGCGTTTGTGCCTTTGCCCACACCGGCCTCTTGCACAGACACGTGTTGAACGCATGCATGCTGGTACAG